TTACACCTTAAGCTATGCTTAGCTACAGTCCCACAGTGCGAAAGGGAGATATCTGGGAACTTCCCTGGGAGCAAACAGATTTTACCAATGAGTCTATTTCCTTACTATCTACCTGCCTATAAATATAAATAATCAAGTTATCCTTCTATGAAGTGCAATCAAGTATCTTCTACCTTTACTAGCTAAACTGGCATGTGTTGAACTGAAGAGTGCACGAGAAACAGAAGAAAAGATCAGTCTATATTCTCCAGGTCATGACCTCCCGGAAAACAAATCCCTTTGTTAAGATGTTGGCAGAGATGTTGGTAAACTGGGGGGCCATTTGGAACTTTTTCATCACAATATCCCCAGTGTATGTAATTTGTTGTATATCCTCTTGAAAATTTACTCAATGGGTGTCTATTAGAAAATTTACTCCATGGGTGTCTATTAGGCTCAGAATCATCTATGCAACTGATCTTTCACCATTAGAGAAACAGAACGAAGAGCATAGTAAGCAGCTTAAAGAAACTTCATTTTACCCCAGAGTCTCCTCTCCTATATCCCCAGGGGAGGGTAACTGCAATTATAGTTCCCATTTTAAATAGGTTCACGTTACCACTGGGGAATATTTTCTTCTCATTTTTTAGAAGAACTCTCAGCTTTTCTAACTTAATAAAGACAATAAATGGCATAAGTTAACTAACAGCCTATGGCCTCCTTCTAGCTCTCATTAAGGAAAATCTTTTTTTTTAAACTAAATCAAGCAGCCACTGTGACATTTAATTATTTATTTAAAAAATGGAATTATTACTACTGAGACCTTGGGCTGAACAAGTGGTACATACTACAATCACCTACAGAGCTTTTAAAAAAGGGTCCATCCAATAAGATTCTGATTCAGGAAGTCTGGAAAGGGGTTCACTGGGCTATGAACATTGCAAAGATTCCAAGGATTAGGTCTGTGGTCCCTCTTCTTCAAGTCAACAGTGTACCATTGATACATATGCATCTGCTGTTTGCATAGAGTTCTACATAAAGCATGTTTATAACTATATTAGAAGAAATAAGTTATTTGACATCTTTTATAGACATTGGTCAAACCATTTTCCTAAAACAAGTCTATCATAAAACAATTCTGAGAGAAAAAAATGCGTGTGTATAGGCAAAGTGGGGAATCACCCTGCGGAAAGAAATTTGGCCTTTGTTCTCAGTTCTTTGTAGCTGGAACACACTTGAGGCTAATGAGCAGGGGCTGACCAGAACGAAAGGGACCATGTGGGGGCCCAATGCTGACTAAGCCTAGGAGGCATGATATAATATATGACAGCCATGTGGGGAGGCCGATAAAAGCCCTGAGCCTTAAGGCTCAGATGAGCTTTCTGGTTGGTGACCATGCACAGGACAGGTGCATATGTCCCTCTTTGGGACCCCTACCAGGCCTCACCCTGTGTGTCCCTTCATTTGAATCCTTTTTAGTTATAATACATCTGTAAGTATGGTATACTCTCAGGATTCTGTGAGTCATTCCACTGAATTATCAAACCTACAGGGGCAGTGAGAGCCAGCAGGGGCTGGCATCTGCTGATTTGGCAATCTGAAGGACTGTGTCATTTTAACTTGTGAGCTCTGACCTAGTTCCAGGTGGCAAGGGTTGGAAAGAGTGTGCTGCATGAGCAGCTGGAGACAAGGATGGAGAAGTGAGAAGGTGAGGACTGGATCCATCCCCACACATTGGACATCGGATTCATGTGGACCTATGTGGATCTTTACCACATAGTTGGCAATAAAGGTGAGATTAGCTCACTTTGCCTTTACTTAGGGCAGTATATAAATTTATTTTATTATATGTTAATCACTGCTTTAAATTATGTATGGCCTAGGGCAGGGTATCATCCCATAAATATATGAATATTAGTTTATCTATTCCTTCAGAAGTAAAGGCTCTTATAGCTGTACTGTCCAATACAGTAGTCACATTTCAAATGCTTAGTATACATCTTTAAAATATGTCACTAGCTTCCTATGTCTGTGCCTTTCTAGTATTTATTTTCTAATGTCCAATTTTTAACTCTCTTGAACAAGAACAGTCATATTTCTGTATGGATAAAAATTAACAAGATGAAGATAATCAATTTTATTTTATTTTTTTCCTGGTGAGACTAAAAAGGCTTGCATCACTAAGTATTTAAAGGTGATATAAAGCTACCATAATTAAAACATTAAGTACTGGCACAAGATTTAGACAGATAGATATGGATCAAAATACAAAGTCAAGAAATATACCTATAAAGGTAGCTTTTCAAATCAGTGGAAAAAAAAAGGATAAATCAGTAACTGGGACAACTGATTAACTACTTGGTATAAAACTTAGATCTCTACTTCTCACCATAAACAAAAATAAAATTCCAGACGTGTTAAAGAAATGTTAAAAAAAAAACCATTAAAAGAAAAATTAGTACCCCAAAATTGGTACCGGACATCCTGAAGTCACTCTTGAGGTTCACTCTTCAGCCAAAGATTAGACAGCCCCATAAAACAAAACGAGACTAAATGGGCACACCAACCCAGGGGCAAGGATGAGAAAGCAGGAGGGGACAGGAAAGCTGGTAACTGGGAACCCAATGTCAAGAAGGGGAGACTGCTGACATGTCGTGGGGTTGGCAACCAATGTCACAAAACAATATGTGTATTAATTGTTTAATGAGAAACTAATTTGCTCTGTGAACCTTCATATAAAGCACAATAAAAAAAGAAAACAATAGTTGACTATTTGATAGGCCTAAGACTATCGAAAACATCACTAATTTCCTCAGAGATAAAAGATGTTGTATCCATTATAAAAGGTTAGAAACAACAATAACAACAACCACTGAATAACAGCCAGACACTGGTCTGAGACTTAACATATTAATTCATTTAACTTACAACAATACTATGAGGTAGGTTCTATTTATTATTGTTTCCATTTTGTGTATGAGGAAACGATCCACAATCTTAAATACTATGCTATTTCACCTCTCTGCTTCAAACAGCAAAAAGGAGCTCTTGGAAATGAAAACTGTAAGAGCACAAATGGAAACAAACAACAATACAAGCTTGTAAAACACAACCAAGGAGATCTCCCAGAAAGTAGAAAAACACAAAAATGGAAATAGGAGAAAAAAAGATAAAATGACAGAATAGATCTACAGGAGCCAACCTTCAAATAATAATCCTACAGAAAGAGTAGAGAAAAATCAAAGACATAATTCTAGAAAATTTTCCAGAACTGAAGGACATAAGTTCCAATTCAACAGAGTGGCTGAAAAAACCACATCAACATCATAATGAAATTTCAGAACACTGGGGATAAAGAAGTTTAAAAATTTCAGAGGCTACATACAAATTACATGCAAAAGCAATGCACAGCTCACCAACAGTGGAAGACAAAAGACAACAAAGCAGTATCTTCAAAATTCTGAAGGAAAATTATTTCCAAACCAGAATTGTATACCCAGCCAAAACTACCAATAAATATGCGGGTAGAATAAAAGCATTTTTAGCCATGCACTGTCTAAAAAATTTACCTCTTATACACTCTTCTCTCAGGAAGCTACCGGAAATGCTCTCCAAAGCAAAGGATTAAACAAGAAAGAAAAAGATGAAAGAAAGAAAGAGAGAGACATGGGAAAAGTAATAGAATCTAGTATAAAAGAGGTAGGAAATATCACCAGGCCAATGATGCTGGGATAGCAAATATGACAGCTATATGTAGCACAGGTTTAGAATGGAACGTACCAGAAGGCATCTCCAAGAAGATAAAACTTATGTTATAGCTGAGATGCTGAAATGTAATGAGGAAGATTTACACTTCTGGGTAAAGTCTGGGGAGGAATTACTGATAAAAACACAGAAAGCTAAGCAAAACAGACAAAAAATATGTAAGAGAGAAAAAAAAAGTTGTGCAAAAAAGGAAAAGTAACTATAGCATGCAAAATGATTAGGCTCTGAATAAGCTATACATAATCATAATATCGTCAACAATGAATACTGTTCTAACCAAAATTATATTATAACCAAAGTAACAATAAACTTGAGTGTGTGAGGTAGTTGGGGAAGTCTATCACAAACCCCACTACCCAACAAAGGAAGTTAATAGATAATACCAAAAAGAGTGGAAAATCAATAAGCAGTAATATGTGCATATAGAAAGGTATGGTAATAACAAAAGAAACAGCCAAAGAGTTGAAAATAATTGCTTCTAGGGAGTGGGAACAAAGATGGGGAAGGACTGCTGTTTTTTCATAAAAAGCCCAGTGGAGTAGCTGTCTCATATAATGTCTACATAGTTTTTTTGCACATGTATTAAGAAAAACTAAAACTAAACAGTACAAATAAATATATAAAATGCTTTCTAAAGTTAAGAAAAGAGAATGTAGTATGGGGAAGAAATCAAATGTACACAAGTTTTTTTTCATGTCATAGAAATCTGACAGGGAAAAAAGGGGGAAAAGACTAAGTCTACCAAAAAAGGATTAAATAAATTATATGGCACATCCATATGATGAAATGTCATGCAGGCATTAAAAAATGCAAATCAGGAAAATATATCGCACCTTATTAACAAAAACCAGGTAACAAAAAAGTACAACCTCAATTTTGATTAAACACATATACATATCCAGGTAACATACGTATTAAAAGACTGTTAACCAAAATATTAACAGTGATTATACAACATGTATGTCAAGTTTATGGATGATCTTTTTCAGTATTTCCAAATGAATACACATGTGTTATTAAAGAACTCAAAAGTTAGTTTCAAAAATAAACTGCTGATTCTACAATTTGGAAGTGTATCAGAGAGCAAAGCTACTTTATTAACTGGTTTCAGTTTGTTACACTGAAAAACAAATACTGCTTAATTAATAAGTAGCCAGAACTTCCATTATGAATCCTCTGAATAATCAATTTTTAACATAAAGACTGATTTTACACATCAGTGAAGATATTAGTTCCTCTTACCCCCATGCACTTACCTTAATTTGAACAATGATACAACTTGCACTGGATCCCAAGCAGACACTACCTCAAAAAACACTGGCAGTGCCACTGGCTTCTCCAATTTACAAAGTCAGGTTACAATCCTGGAATGAGAGGAAATAAGCACTGATAAAACAGCTACCCACACCTTGCAGATTGCAACGTTGATATTTGAAATTTATAAGCAAAAACTCTATTTCAGCTGTCAATTTCAAGAGTACACTTGTCTGACAGGTGTGTGTCTGTCTAATTTTCATCCACTCAACCTCCTACAATAAGGTTAGAGGGTGGAAAGCTAAAACTTTTCATCTTGTAACCTGATTCTTCCACTGGTAATATTTCAGGTGCCAGGGTCTGCATTATGCAAGACTAATTCACACACTCCAGAACTCAACCTGGAGAAATTCACAGGAACTAGCTGTTTGAAAGGAAAGAAAAATGTAACTGAGATATGTGCAGCTAATTTTTTTTAGTAGACTTTGTGTCTTTACAGCAGTTTTAGCTTTACAGAAAAATTGTGCAGAAAGTACAGGGAGTTCTGACATGCCCCTGCTCCCCTGCACATCATTTCTTGCAGAGCTAAATTTAACAAATACATTTCAAGTTAAAATACTACCCCCATCCCCACCCTAGAAAACACACAAAAATAACTTTAGCCTCAGTTGTCTAAATATTTCCAGATCTAAACATTAGTAACATGGCCATACATCAAAATAGTGTCATCGAAAACAAAGTTCCAAGATCAACGAGCTCATGTATGAAGTTAATATCCTCACTTCTAGCTTATTAAAGCTGTATCGTTCATTCATATTACTATACAGGTAGGAAGGCACCCAAGATCCAAATAATCTAAGATACACTCTCTAACTTACTCGGCATTCACTCAATCAATATTTACTGAAAGCCTGTATGTGCCCAGCACCAGGAAAAACCTCTAAGTCTCAGAGTCTAGGAGCAGACAATATACTCAATTTTTGTTTTCTACTACTACTAAGTTTACTATGTAATATAATACAACACTATCTTAGTTACTGGCGTGTGGAGGTAACAAATCTCCCTTTTCATGTTCCTCAGGTATCTCACATTGGGCAAATCAGGACTACCTAGTTTACAAACATACGGGAAACTTTCTGTTTGGACTTCATCAATCCAGTCTGTAGCATGCATGCCCTTTGAGTCTCAAGGGACACCTTTCCTGATTCTCCTGAGTCAATCTCTGGAGCTGGTTCACTTTCCACCCTGGAGATCTGAATGACCTCAGCAGATGCTGAGTGCCTCAGGTGTGGGCTACCCATCTTAGCTTCCTCTGAAAGCCATGGTTTCCACATAGCTGAACCCTTGCCTATTTATCCAGGAAGGAAAGGAACTGATTTCCTTAAGTTATGGTCTCTGAACCCTTTGTACATGCAGAACCCTCAGCCTAGAATGCCTCTTCCCCTCTCACCAAACTCCTACTCATTTTCTGGAAGGTTCTCCTCCCCAACCAAGCTTTCCCTGGTTCTCCAACACTGGGTTAGGTACTGCTTCTTTTTGTTAGCTGGACACATCTTTCCTTACATTCATCTCATTATATCTGTTTATATGTCAAATTCTTCACTGGGCTGTGAACTCTTTCTATACCTAACAGTGATATGTTTTTGCTGATTTAATACCTAAGCAACACACTCTTGACCTATACCAAAGACAATCAGATAATCAACACTACAAAGAGCCTACTCACAAAAATACTAATAGGATTGAACTGTAATTCAGATGAAATTAGTATTCAGTCAGACCCTTTACCAAATTAATGAAAATATTGTTGATACGTATTTACTCAGTTGATAAATAGTAAATATATATATATATATAGTACTTTCAAAAACTCATTCTTTCAAAATACTTTTGCATATATTCTTGTAGTTTATTCGTGTAACTCATCCTAGGTTACATCAGCCAAAATTCCTTTCCAAGGTCTCATAACTCCAGAGGACCAGGGACTCACATCCGTCTGCTTGCCCAGTGAGGGAAATCGCAATGACTGCTACAAGACTGAGAACTGGTCTTACTGTACAATTCCACCCAGATGGCAAATACACGAACATCTCTTTCATTTTCTTACCCCATTACGTTTCTTTCCTACTAATTAACCTCTTCTCGGATACTGGCAAGAATTTTATCATTCCAACAAGTCTTCAAGTTTTCACTGTTGTGATGGGCAGAGAAGCCAGCCTGAGACTTTGACCCATCATTATCCTGTAACTGTAAGGAGACACCTGAAGCCCTGCCACCACAGGTTTTACTCCCCTCCACCCTCTCTACCAGCTTGTCCTGCCTTTGTCATCTGGTAAACCATCAGGCGTTCTTTACAGCCTATATCTCCTGAACCTCCCTTGGATGGATGCCAAAGTATTACCAAGGACACCCTGGCATTACCAACAATATACCTTTTCCCTTCTACGTATTACTAATCGTTCATTTATTCAACAAAACATTTACTGAGTTGAAACTGACTCGACAGCAATGGGTTTGGTTTGGTTTATTATATGCCAGGCAGCATTCTAGGCACTGGAGATTCACCAGTTAAAAAGTCCTTTCCTTTCCAGAGCTTACATTTTACAGAGTGGAGAGAAGGGGAATGGGGGTATAAGAGTTACAATTTTATATAAAGCCATCAGGGAAGGCTTCTCTCCCAAGACATTTGAGCAGAGATTTGAAGAGAAAGAGCATGCTGTGCATGTATCTGAGAGTAGCTAGATCCAAGCAGAGGGAACAGCAAGTGCAAAGACCCTGGGGAGGGAATATGCTTGGCTTGTCTGAGGAACTGAGCAAAAAACAGAGTGGATGCAAAGCAAAAATTTCCAAGGGAGCAGTTGATAGATCAGGTCAGAGATGTGAGTTAATGGACAGGGACTTGCAGGCCATTGTAAGAACTTCGCTTTTACTCTGGGTAATATGAGCAGTCACTGGAGTGTTCTGAACAAAGGAATAACACGATCATAATTATGTGTTCACAGGATCATTCTGGCTGCTGAGTGGGGAACAGACTTCAACGGGGCCAGGACAGAGCAATTGGTAGATATTGCCTACAATAATCCAGCAAAAGGACAAGAGCAGCTCAGACCAGAGTGGTAGCTCAGAACATGCCCACCTTCCAAACAACTGTTGTTAGGTGCCACTGAGTCAATTCCGATTCATAGTGACCCCATGTGACAGAGTATTCCAGGCTGTAATCTTTACGGGAGCAAATCACCAGGTCTTTCTCCCGCAGAGCTGCTAGGTGGGTTCAAATCGGCAAGCTTTTGGTTAGCAGCAGAGCACTTAACAATTTGTGCCACCAAAGCTCCTGTTTTATACACTACTAGACCTTAAACAACAATATATAGTTCCTCAAAGGGTGAACACTAATATTCTAAAATCATATAGCATTTGTATCTTCTGTGGTTAAACAAGACTGAATTTTTTTTTATCTCACTGCAGGCACCGCTGACAATCTCTTATTGAGAGATACAAAACATACGGTGAAACGCAAGGGTGACCTTACCCACATCTGTGAACCCAAGGTCAAAGATAGTCTTTTAAACCACCAGGACAAAACTTGTTCATATAACACTTGGAGGACCAATGTGTTCTGGCTTCAAAAGCATGCTACCTACCAATGAAAGTGGACAAATGAGGACAGCATCTTCTATTCATGTTAACTCAAAGTAGCCAATAAATAATAAAATTTCATCTTAGCTGCTCCCCCACTGGAAAAAGCACTACGAATTGATAAGATTATGATGAAAGAACAATTGAAGAAATAAACCTTTAGTGTTCTACCACAGAAAACAGTGCAACGTCTGTTCCAAGTAGTTTCCATGGCATCAGCAGCAACCTATACTGAATCTAAGACTGGTGAAATTACTACAAATGATTATGGAGAGAAAGATGCCTACTTCAAAATGGGTCACGTATACAGGGCCTTCCACACTGAGGGCCAGCACACAGGCCAAATCCAGACCACTACCTGTTTTTGTACAGCCTACCAGTTAAGAATGGTTTTAACATCTTTAAATGGTTTGAGGGGAGGGAGAGAATCAAAAGAATAATATTTCATGACATGTGGAAACTGAAATTCAAATACCAGCATTCACAAATAGCTTTATTGAAATACAGCATCCTCATTCACTTACATGACTACTTTCACACTATAAGAGCAGAGGTGAGCAGCTGCAACAGGGACCGTATGCAGCGATCACTTTGCACAGCTGCTCAACACACTACAAGCTGCAGCAACACAGTTATAACGCAAAAGCATTTGAGTGCCGTGCACACTGCCATACCACATTTTATTAGTATTTTTTAAACTACCTGTGCATACCTGTCATGTCAAAACAAGAAAAGAAAAAAGTGGACTTTGAATATTACCCATAGTCACAGTGAATGTGGATTATTTTTTGTTATGAAACCAGATGGCAAAGTGTTGTGTTTATTATGAAATGACATCACAGCTGTGCCAAGAATACAATATATGTTGACACTGCCAAACTAAGCACTCATCACATTACTCCCAACTCACAAGAAAACAACTGTCAGAAAAACTAGAAAATTTAAAACACAATCTCGTCACAGCAGAAATTCTTTCCAAAAATAAAAACAAGGCAAAAACCAAGGTAAGTTTCTGAGTGGCTCATTTGTTAGCAAAGCAAGGAAAGCCAATTTACTGATGGTGAGTTAATTAAATCATGTTTGACTGCAGTAGCTAAAGACAGGTGTCCAGAAAAAATAAACTTAAGACTATTAGCCTTTCAGCAAGAACAACTGCTGGCAATAACTGAGGACAATGGAAGCAGTATCAATAGTCAATTTAAAAAAAAACCAGGCAGGTGGGGGAAAAAGGTACTGACCTAAGTCACTACTGAAATGAATGTGTCCAGAAGACTAAAGATGAAAGAACTGCACATAAGCACTGTACTCTAGTTGGTAAAGTTGTTTCCCATGGGGATACAGGTTAACATTTCTGAAACCACTAGAATATATGTATAGTGGAATTAGCAATTAAGTAAATGATTGGCAGATGATAGGAGCAAGGTTTCTTACTGCTGAAATGGGAGGTTATAGACAAGCAAAAAGGGAAAGCTAG